CTACTGGCAGATACTATCGTGGTTGAAACATAGTTTTAAGGCAACATTGTTGCCAATATTTATCACATTCTGATGGTTTTAGTTAATCGGTAGCAAGTTTGCTCTCAATTACTTAACGAGAACGTTCAGTTTTTGTATTAAATTTAGCTGCGACGAGTATCACAAGAGTCTACAGTGTGCCGCTTTACAACAGTAGGAGTAATTTGATATTCTGACTTATGGCCCAAGAAGCTCTAATACACATCTTTGAAGCGCAAAAATTGGTCTGCCCACGGTGAGGTATAGAGATTCTTCAAGCTTATGTTGTGTTGAAGTGAATTAAGGATACACTGTAGATTGTTGCTGCTTATGAAATAAAGCGAATAAATGTTTCAATATAAACGTTAGTTCAGTATTGTCCCACCCAATGACAGATAAGAGAATATTGAAATGGATCTTCTTAAATTTCGTTTTTTTGCCTACCTATAAACACTAACCAAAAGTGTCATCCACCTGATTCAGGACATCAAGTATAAACCAACCTAATAGCATTAAAAAATAAAATAATAACCTTCAATTTAAAACTTATTATAATATATCTTTTTACTTAATTATGAACAAGCTTTACGCCATTTGTTTGAAGAAGTCAGCCGGTACCTGTAAAAGTCTATATGACTTACCCTTTCTGTAGTTATTGTGTCTTTGATCCAGACCTCCATGTCTTGAAAATGCACTCGAGTTGACACTTGGATTTCCAGATACTGGTAAAGCACTGTCCAACAGTGTACTATTGTAGCGAGATGCGTGTACGTAATCAGGGGATGCTTCACGGGAGGTTTGATTGGATGGAATTGTCTGATTATGACTGTTCATAGTTGGGACTTCAATATGACGAGTAGGCCTTGAAATACAAATTGCATATTGAGGCAATGTTAATAAATGGTAGTCATCTATGTTTTGAATTTCTGTATGATTTTGGCTGCTTCAAATTATCCCCTACTATTTGGTTTTCCGGTATAAAATTAATCCACTAACAAGCATTATAGAGCCAAGTTGTACGGACATCCGGAAAATTTCCTCTTACTGATAGGAATATATGGTCTAGGCTTTTGAGACTTAAAACAGCGACAATGAGGATAGAAATTCTCAAGTAAAAACTCAAATTACATTCACTTTGCACCTTATGGCTGAACGCCATTTCTTTAGAAATAAAGAGGGGAGATTAAACCTTTGATCTCACAGAAGAACGATGAAGGAGTTTTTCTGGCCTCTTAAGACAATTGTGCGATGCCTTTCTTAGGTTACCTTAAAAACGTGTTTAGCAACCTCAAGTAGAACGGGGGTTAGTTTATCTGCATACTTATGAACTTGACCTGAATTTAATATGCTATACAATTATTTGAGAATCTGTTCTTGATAGTATTCATCCGCCATTTACTCTCTCTCCATTTTTGTCCTTATGATTCCATGTAAAAGCCAGAGATAGATGATTGATCATTTCGTATCATTACATGTGCACCTGATGTGTTTGTAAACGCAAACAAATACAGATAATTGAGAGATATTCACCCTATTTCATTTAAGGACTGGTAGTTGGATTTTCCCACAATCATATAAGCAAAGCTGACGCTTCCGTTGCACTTCATATGGATTTGTTTTCCGAAAAAGTGTTCTCATCCAGGGTGGACTGTAGTCTCGACCTCGCCTAGATCTCATCAACACTCCCAGCGGGAATCGAACCATGACAGTACAGCGTGTAATCTCGACATTTTAACCATAACGCCACATTGCAACGGGTGCTCTTGATTTACTGAAAAGATGTGACTTTCAATGAAAGTCAGGCATAACACATTCTGTGATGGATTTGTCAATGGAGTAAAGTTGTATGTGCTATAGTAATCGGCAACGTGACTTATGTTTCATTCATAAGTAGATAGTATCGAAAAACCTACTTCTATACGAAAGAATAGTAGAGCAGGCATCAGACGATACTTTAAAGTACAAGATTATCACTAAGGACCCTACAGAAACCCTGAAATATAGAAGCATGTATTGCCTGCAACGTTGTGTAACAGACGTGGAGTTAGAAAAATGGAAGATGGACACACTTTTAAAATGAGATACCAGGCCACCGAATGCATATGGTCTGCCCAAGATACACAAAGACGGAATCCCACTGAGTTTTTGTTAATAATAAAGATAGCTTGATGCCTGAAACATCACGATATATCTGTCAGAAAATAAAGAAAATCTCCGCGGCATGGCAGTTTTCAACTAGCAACTCTTATTAATTCATTAGGTTAGTCGGTAAGCAGAATAAAGATAGTGGGGATTTGCTTGGTACTTTTGACGCAGAACAAATGCACACTAATGTCCCTGTAAACGGAACAATACAGGCTCGGATATTGTGAGTCAATAATGATATTGACGAATTTACTGATGAGCTGTACATATTTTACTTTCAATAGTAAACTGTACGAACAAATTTTATCAAATAACTACTTGGCTCAATCAGAAAGACGCCTATTACAAGAAGCTCTTTTATTTCCTACATTTTTGGTCATGTGCATGGATGACTACTTTGCCATTTGGCGACACGGCAAAAAAAGCCTAGAAGACTGTATAACGTTAATGAATAGAATCGACTGGAAAGCCAAGTTCACCACGGAATTAGGAAGTATGTTCCAAGCTTAAAAATTGGGAAGCAAAAATAATATATAAAACCCACAAATTCGGGGTTCTCGTTGGATTCTTTCAAAACCTTACTTATGGTGTTAGAATAAGTGTTATGAAATCCATAGTTATAAGGAGTCTGCATATTGCAGATGTTAATAATCAGGACCAAAAATTAAGGCGATTAAGGAAAACTGAAGCTGAAAACTATTACCAACTAGAATTATTTGACAATTAATTTATAATATTAGCAAGTAGGAAGGAGAAAAGCATCTATTTGGGGCAATAAAGACGGCTGAACCAATTGACTAGTGTCCTAATGTTGCCATGCTCTTAGATACTGAAAAAGATAGGCGAATTACTGACGAAGTGGGATATCAGGAAAATGTATGAGGAAAAAATTACACTTTCCTCAGTGATGCAATCATTTCAGGAAGTTCCAGACACTCTCTCCAAATTTGGATGCTAGAAGGTTTTGTGTGCATGTGGTATTGTCTATGTGGATGAGATCTGTCAGCCCATACATAAGTGGTTATCTCAACATAAAGAAGCCTACGAAGGTTTGTGCTTCCACAAGTCAGAATTGGCAGAAATATTAGTTGTATTCACCCTACTCGTATACAAAAAAAGAATTGACACAAGACACCAGATAGACTAGTCTAAAGCTAAACGCTTAGGAATCTTTATAAATCAGCAAAACAGCCAACGCCCTAAATAGAAGCAATGAATGTAGCAAAATAAGAAGAAACTACTTGTGGCTGTTGGATAGAATTGGAGAGGCAGAAAGAGAGAGAGAAGATGAAGTACACCAACACAAGAGAAAGTGTGATAAATCTAGCCTCAAATCTGGTTGTCATTTTCACACTCCGCGCACACAACAGACACGCATTGGAGAGAAATCGCATTCGACAACATTGCAGGATCTAAAATATTATTTTTTGCATTTGGGTAGAGTTTCGAGACTACCAGTTAATCAGTAATATGAGATGTATTCACTCAAATTTGTTTAAGGTGATTAACGACTGGTAGTCGAATTTTCCCACAATCATATGAGTAGAGCTGACGTTTCCATTGAATTTCACATTGGTTTGCTTTACCAAAAGTTGTTCTCATCCAGGCTGAAGTGGACTGCAGTTTCGACCTCGTCTCGAGCTTATCAACACCCCCAGCGGGAGTCGAACCGTGACAGTGCACAATGGGAGCTCGACATGTTAACCACTCGATCACATTGCCACAAGTGCCCTTGGGTCACAGGGCAGATGTGAATTTCGAAGAAGGCCAGGCCTTTTGCCATATCACCAAAATATTAGTGATTTAGGCGAGGATACATCTTTGTTTCAATTGAATTCGCTTATTACATCATCCGTATCCACTTTACTACTTGACAAGCATGTAGGAAAAGCATAGGATATCCAAGCAAATCATAAGATGTCTCATTATGTGAATAAAGTTAGGCTATAAGAATTAGGTGAACTGGCCCTGGCCACCTTTCTTTGTACTTAATAAATTATCGTAAAGCATTGTGTCCTGCTTTGACGATATCCGCCAAATGATGGACGAAATCTAAACAAGGATGCATCGGAATCATGGGATAGTCAGCTGAGAACTTATTCGACCAAAGCTACAGTCACGACTCCAACGCTAAACCCCAACTACATTTGGAAAGACCAACTTACGAATCCTTCCCACTGGCCTCTTTAAATAAACCCAAACGTACTCCAATACAAATCTATTAACGGAGTCCTCGGAAACCAGTTTTCCTAAAAATAATAATCACATTATCTTATACTTCATTAGGTTTGATCCAAGAAGCGGCAAGTAATAGTATATTATAAATTAATTAGTCTGCTTGACTGTTTACTGAGATTTCACCCAGCTTTAGCGAAGTGTGTTGTATGGCATATAGAAGCTAGACATAAATGCAGGAACTATGTGTAAGGGACCTAGGAGCCTCTTCATCTGACACTTTCACATTAAATGAGTGCCAGTGTCAAACCACTTTCTCTTCAGAAATTCGTCTTCTTCCTACATCAAATTATGAAAACTTTCAAATATCGAAGGGCCTGAAGAGGCTAACCAAAACTGCCCCAATATTGATATGAATTTGTTCCATTTTTCCTCAATTTATCGTAACTATAATCAAGATAACACTTTTATATCGGTACTAGTATGACAAAGTACAAAATAGATGTCTACTGTAAAGTTACATCGATATCTTAAGTTAACCTTAACTTTAAAATAGTTACACTTTCAAATTATATGCCCAAACTGTAATAAAAGAGACTCACACATGCATTGTGTTTATTCCTTCAATTTTCAGTTTGTTTGCAGCATTTAGTTCA